TGGGCTTATGGATAGGTTCATTCTTTTCAAGATATTTTTATTCAGCTGTACTTTTATTAATATTCTGTCTTCTTTCTCTCTTTGTCCTTTTTATTTACACTCTGCATATTTTAAAAGAGCGATTCATTTTCCTTATAAATAATTAAAAATCATAGAGGTTTATAAATAAACACAAAAATAAACAATGGGATGGTGTCTCCTTTTATACTTAGTCTTATAAAATTGTAGAGAAAAATAATTGGAAATAGGTTGATTCCAAGAAGCTAGAAATAGAACAGAAGAGAATAGGATTTACATGGTATTTTTGTATGACATCTAAAATTCTCACAGGGGATTTGTCAAGTTATTCTCACAGGGGCTTGTCAGTCCTAAAGAACATTCTCTACACAGAGAGGAAAGTCACTACAGCCAAAGTGGTAACCTCCTAGGGTGTGTCTCCATGCCATCCCAACTCTTTCAGGCTTCTCTGATCCAGCATGAGTTACAAAACTTACAGTCAGTGGGGAATTTCCTTATTTGAAGTCTCGTCACTTCAGTGACTTTCTAAATAGAAATGAGAGAACCCAGAAACGTTTTGAAAAAATTTTTATTTCTTCCTGGCAATTGCATGTGTATTTTTTCCTGTATGTTATTTGAATGTGAGGAGTTGTCATTATCTTAGGAACAACTATGAAACAGTCTCTGGAAAATGGAATTTGATTTTGGGTAAACAATAGGAGAAATTTACTGTTTTTCTTCAGTAGCTCCACAATAAAAGGTATGTTCAATGTCATTGAGAAGAAAGGCTACAAATGCTCTTTTTCTTCATGAGTATCCTTTAAAATAAATAGAGTGAAGGCAAAATTTGAGTAATTAAGAGTAGAAAGTTGGCCTGCGCTTTGGTTTTCTTGATATTAAAAAAGTGTATGCTAGGGATTGTCATCTAGAAATTTACTTCAAATTTCCACTGACCTTCCTTTGTAGAAACAGATATATATTCCTTTTCTAAAAAGCGAAAAAGGGTAGTGACATAGAACAAATGTTTCAATGGTTCATTGATTATAGGACTGACATAAGAAGACTACGAATGTGGTATGTGTGTATGTAAAAGTGAATGAGAGAAAGACAGAGAAAGAGGCGTTTGCGACAGAATGGAGAGTTTTTGGTAAATAAGTATTTATCTATACTTAAAACATAAAAGCTTAAAATAATGCTAAGTAGAAAATAATGGCTATAAGAGAATACTAAGAAGAAGAGAAATTGGTGGGGTAGGATATTTTCCATAACAATTTAATAATGTTGTAACTATGCTTTTATTTCCTAAGCTTAAAGCTCTATGATTACATATAACTGACATGAATAGGTACTGATCAAACTTTGAACTAAAGCAATTTATTATTTAGATTTGATTTTTGTGTTTTTCTTCATCTAGCTACCAAGTTGATCACATTGTTGATAAAAAAAGATTTAGTAAAGTTAATGTAATTATTTATAATAATATTAGATCAATGAATCAGATCAGAATAATTCTTTAAAATGGGCTAAAGTCATTTAAGTTAAATCTATTCAAACATTTTTTATTCCAATGGTACCTTTTTCAATAGTCTCTTTTCTCTCTTGCTTTGTCATTTTAATTTAAATAATAAAAACTAGAGTGTTTAAAGGGACCATGTCAAGATACTGGTAAACTTGAAACTATTCTTCTTACATTAGAATTGTTATTAGTACATTTGTATTCAAATAGAAAAATCAGTTTCCCAGGATAAATCTTTCTTTGATGTACAAATGGTTAACTATTAGACCTTATTTATGATGCTCAGAGATATATAACATATTAGTAAACTCAGGCATTGCTTTTCTTCCTTCCTTGTTCAGTTAGCTGTAGAATACAAAAAGAATGGTTTCATACTGACTGATTGCTGTCCTTCATTCTAACATATTTATAGACCTAGCATATGTTTTGAAACTTCAAAATGTTTTTCAATGTAACATAAATAGCAAATTTAATTTTGAACCTGTTGATATTTGGAATAAAAATGTAGCACAATGTTTGACCCGTAGTAGACAGTCAATTAGTTTTTGTGGAAAGGATGAAATCTTCAAGTTGACTATTCTAGAAAGATTGGCTAGCTTAAATTTACTCCATGAAAGTAGACTGTTTTCCTAAACCTATATAGTACTTTGCAACTTCCTGCTATAATTCAGAATTAAACCAAGGCCTCTTAACTATAGATGTGTCTGAACCAATCTATCATGAATTCAAAAAAAATGCTTTTAAAATGGTCCAAGAATTATTTCTTTGGATAAGTACATGCTATACTGGTTTATATTTAAATTAAAAAATAATTCAGACATATAAATTAAATGCTACCAAAGTATACAAAATTAAAAGTGAAAATAAAATATGTAACCTTAAAGTACATGGCTGTTGTCGAATTGGGAGCGTAGACAAGCTACTGTGCTGTTGACAGTAATTGCCAAGGTCAGGTTTAATTAACGACCAATGCCATGAGCAGAGCATCAAACCACCCACCTTCACAAAACACTTGCAGGCACAAAGAACCACAGGCACACATTCGAGAAGAAGCTAATAACTTGAAGAGAAGCAAAGGGACTCCCATAGTTCCCTTTATTTCCATATTGTTTGTGATGAATAAAGCCTTAATATTCATAAATATCCAAATAATTCTAATAAACTACTCAAAACATATTTTTAGATTATGGAAACACGTTTAAAATTATATTTTTCCAGAAACATCAATTCTCTGTGGTTTCAGGGAAGATAAATATTAAGTGTCTTAGAGATACAGTTTGAAATCTCCTGGGTTTCACGTTTGCCCTGAATTGATGAATCTGTCTTTTCTAATAAGAAATGCTTTCGATATTCTTGTAGGCTGTAGAATTTAAAGAGATAATACACATTACTCCTTCCTTCATTCTTTAAATCATTTACCAAATAAGGAGAGTCTCTCGTTAATAGTGGGAGTAGAGAACTAAGAAAGAAATAGCCTGTCTTCATGGGATGAAACATGAAAAAGTTATTACACCTAAAGATTGTTATGAAGAAAAAGCTATCATCAGATCCAAAAGTTGATAGGAATGTTTCAGTTAGGAGAAACAAGTTCAAGAGCTCTATTTTACATCATGATCAATATACTTAGTAACAATATACTGTACACTTGAAAATTACTGAGTGTGAGGTAATGCATATGTGAATTCATTTGATTTAGCCATTCCATAAAATTAACCATGTTGTACACTATGCATACATAAAATGATTGTCAATTCAAAAACAGTTGGAAGGAACAAACAAGGAAAACAGAAGCACACAGCATGGTAGTTTGTTTTTTTCTGTGGTCTTTTTCATGTTCTTCTATGCACCTGTGATGCCCTCTTCAGGCATTCATGTTCCACTTTCTAGGCTGAGCTCAGGGAGCCATCTCTGTCTTTTTCTAGTGCCTTGTGCCTGTGTATGTATCTCTTTCATTATCTTCACTATGCCATTAAAATTGATCTTTTTATATGTCTGTTTCTATCAGTGAATTACATACTTCTTGAGGGCGGTGACAGATATTATCTTTCAACCCTAGTCATAACGGTGCAATTGAAAAGTGGGTTAGTTGATTTGCTGAAGGTTGAATTCTTGGGAGAAGGCATGATGAAGAAGAAAAGCTTCACTTCTCTGGAGATAGGAAGCCTGAATTCTACTCTGAGGCTGCCACTTACAAGTTGGTAGGAACTGAAAAGGACACCGTGTGAACTTGTATGGCCACTTGCAGCACTGAGCTGTGGCAGATGCTTTTGGTACTTTGCATATCTTCCTCTAGGACCCTCTCTGATTTCAGCCACTTTGTCAGTGGACAATCCCTGAGAGTTCAGACTCATCTCTAGCTGGCAGCTGTCACCTGTATTTCTGGGATTTGGCTCGGGAAAGGGCACACTGGAAGGGGCAGTGATTTTTATCTTGGGGCATTCATGAACCAATGACAATGAGAAGCAGTTAAAGAAATTTTTCAGCCTCTTGTCTTTTGCGAGAAGTGGGAGAGGTGGAAGGGGGATGACTCTGAAGAGTGTTTGGTTTGCGTCTCAGAGGACCTGGCAGAAACAAACCCACATTTAGAACAGCTTTATGTTTCTTTTTCTTCTTCTCACTCTTCTACTCATTTATTTCAGCTTCCCAGTATCACCTTCCAAGTAAACCACCTGCACCCAAGTCTAAGTCCTTGTCTTAGGCTCTGCTATTGGGAAGACTCAAACCAAGACTCTAGCCTAAGCGGCAGGGCTCTTAAGTGGTGATGTAATAAGGCCAGTACTTTTCTGTTTTGTTTCCACATAACAGGCAATATTTTCCTCCCAGCCTGTGCATGCGTTTTCTCACTGGTGGTTATTAGGTCTAGCCAAGAACAACTTGACTGACTTTTTTTGTTGTTGTCGTCTCAGAATATCTTCGCTCTGTTTACTAGGCAAGATTTATGTAATTTTTATGTTTGTCTCATTTGTTACCAGGGAACCCTGAGCAGAACACATACACAAACTCATGCAACACCCAAAGGGACCAGGTTCCTCACATGTCCTTGGAAATCTTCAGGATGCTCAAGGACAAGTTCAGTAAGTTGCAAGATTTCAAAAATATTTAAGAAGAAGAAATTTGTGAGCCAAGTGTGTCCCAGTCATTCAGCCTTCTGAGGTTACGCTGTCCTTTCAAATACAAATTCAATAAATGATCCCCTCCTCCACAAATTCAGTAAGTGATACCGTTGGCTAATACCCTTTCTCATATTTCCCTAAGTAAATGAGTGAGAAGAAGTGGGTACAAGATGCTCTTGGCTTATATATTCTCCCATTTGGTGTAATTCCTAGTATCGTTTCCTATTTTACGTTCTTTAGCTCTGGATCTGTTATTCTCTGGATCTGTACCTGTCTCCTGCCTATACCAATTCATTTCAAGCCAGAAGGCAGTATCTTTCCTTCAATGCTTTCTGTATCATCAACTCAGGGCTGTTAGAGAGAACTTACTTTACCTGAAGGCTTGGTCATACAGCACAAATAAGGAAACAACCTCAAATAGAATAAGTGAATCACCTTTCCTAAGTTCATCAGCCATTTCTGCTCTAGGGGACTCATATTTTTTATGCTTTTTTTTTTTTTTTTGCCCCTGGCCTGCTACTATTTTTGTAGGTCTGCTTTTTCATGCTACAGTCTTTTTCCCCCTTCAATTCCTTAGATTCATCTCCCACCCATCTCAGACAAAACCTTTTACAACACACATTATTACAGCATGTGGAACTTACTGATCATTTGTTAAATGGAACAATTTAGCTATTTAGCTTCCTTTGTGTCAACCTTCTCATTCCAGACTCTGCCTAAGACATTGCGTTTTGTAACAAAAAGTCCCAATAATATGTTCTCTCAAACAAACTGCCAGTTGGCAATGCATATTTAACAATTCAAGAAGCGGTAGAAACTTTGAAAATCACAGCTCTTTTTTAACTGTTTAAAGATAAAATTCTTAGGTGGTCTTGAGGTCGAAGTATTACTCATGACTGCTCTGTCAGGGCCTTTGTTAGAGGAAGCAGGATTGCGGCAGTTCTTTACCATTTCTCGGAATATAAATTCTGAGGGTCAGAGCTGCCCCATCTGCCTCCCTCTCCTCCACAGTCAAACACAGACGAGGCTGACTGATTTGGGGTCAATCCTATTGACAGCTCCGCTTTATGCCTCTAGTGGATTTCTCAGGTTTGCCCCATAGTCAGGGACCAGAATAAAAGAAAGTCAACTGGGAAATTTTTAGGGTCAGAAAAGCAGTTTTAAACTCATACACACTTTATCAAAATTTTCTTTTCTTTTTTTTGAGACAGAGTTGCACTTTTTCACCCAGGCTGGGGTGCAATGGCGCGATCTTGGCTCATGACAACCTCCGCATCCCGAGTTCAAGTGATTCTCTTGACTCAGCCTCTTGAGTAGCTGGGACTACAGGCATGTGCCACCACACCTGGCTAATTTTTGTATTTTTAGTAGAGTTGGGGTTTCAACATGTTGACCAGGCTGGTCTCGAACTCCTGACCTCAAGTGATTCACCCGCCTCGGCCTCCCAAAGGGATTCCAGGCATGAGCCATCGCAGCTGGCCAAAATCTAATTTTCTGAGTTGGGTTTAGGCTGTGGCACTGAGTGCTGTCAGACTGCTGCATCACGAAGCTAATAGAGTTTTTCTAAAATTCAGCGGGGACGCTAGAGCCAGGTTTTAGCTTCTGAGGATGTGTGGGGTGGGAAATGCAGGGAGCTAGTATTGCCGACTTAACAGTGTTACTCAGATCTTCAGAATCTTTCTCTGAATACTTTTTCTAGACCCAATCTCTTTCTCCCTTCTTTCTGGGACTAATCAGTGACACAGATATTAGATATTTTGTGATTGTCCCATAGGTCCCCGAGGCTCTGTTCAGTTTTTTCCAGTCAATTTACTTTTCGTTGCTCAGGTCAGAAAAGTTCTGTTTTATAAATTCACTGATTCTTCTGTTGTCTCCATTCTGCTGTTGAGACCGTCCATTAATTTTCTTCTTTAGGTAAAGTATTTTTCAATTCTAAAATTTCCATTTGGGTCTTCTTTATGTCTTCTAGCTCTTCACTGAAACTTTTCTTTTGTCTTAAACATATTCATACTTGTTTGTTGAAGGTTTTTTATAATTGCTATTTTAAAATTATTGTCAGATATTTCTGGCCTTTGTGTCATTTTGGTGTTGGTGTTTGTTGATTATTTTTTCTCATTTATGTTGGGATCTTCCCAGTTGCTAGTATGATAAGTGATTTTTTATAGAAACCTGGACATTTAGGGTATTTTGAGACTCCAGATCTTATTTAAATCTGTTCTAACAGCCTTCTTCTAATAATGCTTTGGTGGATGAAAGGGGCACTCCTTATTTCCACGTGGGGCTAGAAATACTGAAGTCCTGGTTCTCCAGTCAGCCTCTGTTGACTTCCAAAGATGGACAATTCTTATTACTGCTGAATAGGCAGGAGACTTCAGGCTTTTCCCTGGCTCTCTGTGACATCACCCTGGCTTGGAGAGGCAGGAGTGGCAGGAGTGGCTCCACTGTGCCATGAGACAAGAATGTCCTTTTTACCACTGAGCATGTTCTAAGTTTCCTCTACACCTCCTCTGTTGATAATCTAGAGGGGACTGAAGGAATGATGCTGGAACACCTCAGGGATGAAGGTGAGGTCTTCCCATTGCTTGGCCTGTCGGGGGACTGGGAGGGCTAACATTAGGAGAAATATGTAATGTAGATTATGGGGGGATGGATGCAGCAAACCACCAAGGCATATGGTGGTTGCCAATGAACACTTAATGATCTAAGAATCAGTAGAAACTTTGAAAATCACAGCTCTTCTTTAACTGTTTAAAGATAAAATTCTTAGGTGTCCTTTAACTTGTAGCTGGGAGGAAAGCAGGAGGACTAGGGAAAAAGATGTCTACTTCATTTTTCCAGCAGTGAGAATCTCTGATGTATTTAGGATAGAGGACTTTAAGATAGAGTAGAAGTGTGCCACTCATCTAACCAGTCTTCAGAGCTGTAGCGACTCACTGGGCTATGACCAGACCCCCACTGTCTGGTTACCTGATCTAGTCTATTCCGAACCACAAGGTATTTGGCTGCAAAAGGGGTGGTGCCTTTTTCTGCCTGGTTTCTACCATATTTCAACCCACACTTCCAGTCTTTCTACCCTTTATTGTTAGATATGTGTCTTCTCACTTACTTTCTCTATGTATTTCCCAATGTCTGGTCTATCTCTGTACTATGCTGAAAAATTGAATAAAAATTCTCTGTAGTCTAACAAATGAGTACCAAAAGGGATAAAATAATCATAATTATGCCATTATTTGGCAGGTTTGTTCATATCAAATTTAAATTTATCATTTAGTAATTTCCCCTTTTAAGTGGGATTATTTAAGCTTTTCTAAAAACAGAAAAATAACTTTTCTTAAAAGAAAAAGTTCTGATTCTCTTCATAAGAAAACGTGTGTGTGTGTATTATATTGCTAAATAGTAGAGAAATATAAAATAATGTTGAAAGTAATACATGCAGAAAAAAATCTGTTCAAATACTGTCTTTGTGTTGTTAGAAAATGGTTTGTATAATTGTTTTTAATTCCAAATGCCACAGTATTCACAATAATTACTGTTTCTTCCCTGGTATTGAGAATTAAGAAAGGTCAGACAGAAAGAGTACAAAATAGAATGGTTACTAATGCAGAAAGTGTGTTTAACTCCAGAATCCTAGTATCAGTTAAACTAATATTATGGCTTCATGATTTTATTTCAAAATTAATTTCCCTCTCTAAAGTGTTCGACAAGCTACTTTTAGCTATTGGCCATGTCTCAATGGATATGAACTGACTGGAAACTTTGAACGTCCATAAAAATGTTATTGAATTTTTGAATAATAAGGTTATCCAGCAAACAATAAGCAAGCACATGTTCATGTTTGTTGAGCAGTTGTCTCAAGTTGAGCTACAAATTTTGGTTAGAAAATTCAGGAGAAAGAGCAAAGTGTGCTACGTTGTTTGATTGATTATACATCCATAAATAATAAAAAGCAAACCAATCAACCAACCAAACAAACCCTAACTGAAAACACATTGAACATATGACAAGTTTATTCTGTATTAGAACAAAAAACCATGACAACAGTGTGTGTTAAATACAATTCTTTTCTAAGGAGTTCATGTTCAGCTTTTCTCTGTGCAACTTTTCTCTTTATGCTTGGGATAGCTTAAGGGAAAGAAGTGATATATGAGTTTCTACTATTCCTTCCCTTATGAAGGAAATCTGACCTTGTGGAAAGACTGTAGGGTTCATACTCTCCACTGCCTGTTGAATGAGTGAATCCCATCTCAAGATCATGCTTGTCTCCACTAGAGCAGAGGCTGGGAATGGCTCCCATTTGAATAGATGCCACTTTTTTGTTAGCTTCTGATTGTTAAAATCATCCCTTATATTGAGCTGAATTTTTCATCTCTGTTCTAGTTTCGTCTTGTGCAGCAAATCTCTTCCAATATCTCTTCTGTATGATGGGCTTTATTTACTATTTTACATGTACACATGTTTTAAATTCAATCATATGAGAATTAGTTGCTTTAGTTTACATACTTCATGACACTTCACTCTTTTTTTTTTGAGACAGAGTTTCGCTCTTGTTACCCAGGCTGGAGTGCAATGGCGCTCACCGCAACCTCCCCCTCCAGGGTTCAGGCAATTCTCCTGCCTCAGCCTCCTGAGTAGCTGGGATTACAGGCACGTGTCACCATGCCCGGCTAATTTTTTGTATTTTTAGTAGAGACGGGGTTTCACCATGTTGACCAGGATGGTCTCGATCTCTTGACCCCGTGATCCACCCGCCTTGGCCTCCCAAAGTGCTGGGATTACAGGCTTGAGCCACCACGCCCGGCTGACACTTCACTCTTACATAAACGAGTATCTCAGAAGAAGAAGATTCTTCTCATATCCACAATACAATTATCACACCCAAGACATTTAAAATGGTTATAATACCATTCTCTAATATATAGGCTTTAAAAAAAAGTTCTTCAATTGTCTCTATACAGTCTTTAAAATGTATTTTAATTTTATTTTTAATTAACAAATGATATAAGCAGTTGGCACATATTGTATATTTATGGGGTCTTGATGTGATGTTTCAGTATTCATTTACATTGTGAAATGATTAAATCAAACCTGTTAACAAATTCATCACCACATTATTATTGTGGTGAGAACATTTAAAATCTACTTTTAGCAATTTAAAAATGTACAACACATTGTTATTTTTTATAATCACCATTTTGTGCAATAGATCACTAAAGCTTATTCATCCTATCTAACAGAAAAATTTACCCTTTAATAAACACATATAATAGCTTTAAATGCTTTTTTCTTCTGTAGGATTTCTTCAGCAGTCTGTTCATTATTGACAGCACTTGTAGACATTTACCATCATAATAACCTCCTTCCTTCAATGTTCCCTGTTATGGATAGAATGTTTTGTCTAACATTTGTATTTTAAAATCTAACCCACAATGTGATGATGATATACTTTGGACATTTGTC